TCTCAGGGCTGTGAGTTCGAACCCCACATTGGGCATGGAGCCTACTTTTAAAAAGAACCACTAATCATAGGAGAAATACAAATCGAAACCACAGTACGCTATCACCCCACACCTGTTAGAATTGCTAGGCAGTGTCAAAATGGCAAAAAATAACAAATGTCGATGAGGATGTGAAGAAAAGGGAATCCTTGCCCAGCACTGGTAGGAACATAAACCGGTGCAGCCACTATGGAAAACAGTATGGAGGTTCCTCAAAAAATTAAATATAGAACCATCATATCATCCAGCAATTCCGCTTCTGAATATTTATCCAAAGGAAAAAAAAACACTAACAAAGAAATATCTGCACCCCCATGTGCAGTAAAGCATTATTTACAATAGCCAAGATATGGAAACAACCGAGGTGCCTGTCCATCAACAGATGAACGGATAAAGAAAATATGGGGTGTGTGTGTGTGTGTGTGTGTGTGCGCGGGCACACGCACACAATGGAGTATTATTCAGTCATAAAAGAAAGGGGAAATCTTGCCATTTGCAAGAATGTGGATGGACCGTGAAGGCATTGTGCTAAGTGAAATAAGTCAAGACAGGGAAAGATATAAACACTGTATGATCTCACTTACATGTGGGATCTAAAAGAAAAACAAGATCACAGTACAGAGAACAGATTGGCAGTTGCCAGATGTGGGAGTAGGAGGTGGGCAAAATGGGTGAAGTCAAAGGTCAAATAAATAACTCACGGAGATGTAACGTACAGCATGACGACCAGAGTTAATTATACTGTACTGAATATTTAAAAGTTGCTATGAGAGTACATCTTCAAAGTTCTCATCACAAGAAAAAAAATTCTATAACTCTGTACGGTGATGGATGTTAACTGGCTTTATTGTGGTGGCCGTTGTGCAAAACATACAAATATCAAATGATTATGTTGTACATTAATATAATGCTGTAAGTCAATTATACCTCAATAAAAAAAAGAGCATGGTACTGGTAAAAGAAGAGATAAATATATCAGTGTAACAAAAAGAAAGGAAATAGATTCACAAATATAATCCACTGATCTTTGACAAAGGAGCAAAGGCAATTCAATGGAGAAAACAAATAGGGTGGAAACTGGACATCCATATGCAAAAAAAAAAAAAAGAACTCCAGACATAGTCCTTATACTTTTCACAAAAATTAACTCTAAATGGATCTTAGGATACAAAAATACTGATTCGAAGGGGCACATGCACCCTGATGTTTATAGCAGCATTATCAACAGGAACCAAACTCTGGAAACAGTCCAAGAGTCCACCGACTGATGAATGGATAAAGAAGATGTGGTATAAATATACAATGGAGTATTAGCCTCAAAAAGAATGAATCTTGCCATTTGTAATGACATGTGAAACGAAAGAAGTCAGTCACAGAAAGACAAATACCACATGATTTCACTGATCTGTGGAATTTAAAAAACAAAACAGATGAACATAGGGGAAGGGGAAAAGAAAGAGATTCTTTTTTTAATGTTCATTATTTTGAGAGAGACAGAGCACAAGCGGAGGAGGAGCACAGAGAGGGGGGACAGAGGATCCGAAGCAGGCTCCGGGCTGACAGCAGAGAGCCCGATGCTGGCTGCAACTCACGAATGCGAGATCATGACCTGAGCAGAAGTCAGATGCTTAACCAACCATAAGAGACACTTACCTATAGAGAACAAACTGAGGATATATATATATATATATATATATCCCTATGCTTATTTCATTATTATTTATAATAGTCAAACTATGGAAACAACCTAAGTGTCGATCAATAAATAAATGGATAAAGAACGGGGCGCCTGGGTGTTTCAGTCGGTTAAGTGTCGACTTCAGCTCAGGTCATGATCTTGCATGGGTTCAAGCCCCACGTTGAGCTCTGTGCTGACAGCTCAGAGCCTGGAGGCTGCTTCGGATTCTGTGTCTTCCCCTCTCACTCTCTGCCCCTCCCCCACTCATGCTGGCCCTCTCATAAATAAATAAACTTTAAAAAAAAAAAAAGAAAAGAGGGCGCTTGGGTGGCTCAGTCGGTTGAGCGTCGGGCTTTGGCTCAGGACATGATATCGCAGTTCGTGAGTTCGAGCCCCACGTCAGGCTCTGTGCTGACAGCTTGGAGCCTGGAGCCTGCTTCAGGTTCTGTGTCTCCCTCTTTCTCTGCCCCTCCCTTGCTCATGCTGTCTCTCTCTGTCTCTCAAAAATAAATAAAACATTAAAAAAAATTTATAAAAAAGAAAGAAAGAAAGAAAAAAATAAATAAGTAAAGAAAAAAATAAATGGATATTAGACATATATGCGCAAAATGTAAAACTATAAAACTTCTACAAGATAACAAGGGAAAAACTAAGTGACTTGGGTCTGGAGATGTTCTAAAATACAACACCAAAAGAATGATTCATAAAAGGAAAATTGACAAGTTGGACTTTATTAAGATTTTAAAATTCTGCTCTATGAAAGACACTGTGGGGTGCCTGCCTGGGAGGCTCAGTTGGTTAAGCATCCAACTCTTGATTTCAGCTCAGGTCATGATCTCACGGTTCGCGAGATCAAGCCCCACGTCGGATTCCAAGCTGACAAGCGTAGGAGCCTGCTTGGGATTCTCTCTCTCTCTGTCTCTCTCTGCCCCTCCCCAGCTCGCTCTCTCTGTCTCTCAAAATAAATAAATAACCTTTTTTTTTTTAAAAGGGACACCATTAAGAAAATAAAGAGACAAGCTTAAGAATGAGAGAAAAGTATTTGCAGAACACATGTCTGATAAGGGACTTGTATTTAAAATATACAAACAACTTGGGGCGCCTGGGTGGCTCAGTCGGTTAAGCGTCCGACTTCGGCTCAGGTCATGATCTCGCGGTCCGTGAGTTCGAGCCCCGTGTCAGGCTCTGTGCGGACAGCTCAGAGCCTGGAGCCTGTTTCAGATTCTATGTCTCCCTCCCTCTCTCACCCTCCCCTGTTCATGCTCTGTCTCTCTCTGTCTCAAAAATAAATAAAACGTTAAAAAAATTTTTTTTAATATACAAACAACTCTTAAAACTCAACACTAAGGAAACAACCAATCCAATTAAAAAAATGGACAAGATCTGAGTAGACACTTGACTGAAGAAGATATACAGATGGCATATGAGCACGTACAAACTATGTTCACCATCATTTTTCATTAGGGAATTGCAATCAAAACAAGGAAATACCATCACACACCTACTAGAATGGTTAAAATCCAAAAACCCAACAACACCAAATGCTGACGAGGATGTGGGGCAACAGGAATGCTCTCGTCCATTGCTGGTGAGAATGCAAAATGGTGAAGAACTTGGGAAGACAGCTTGGCAGTTTCTCACAAAGCCAGTCTTACCATACGACCTATCGTTGCACTCCTAGTTATTTACCCAAGTGAATTGGAAACTTACGTCGACACAAAAACCTGCATATAGGGGCGGCTGGGTCAGTGGGTTGAGCGTCTGCCTCTTGATTTCGGCTCAGGTCACGATGCCAGTGTCTTGGGATAGACTCCAACACTGGGCTCCTCTACCTCTCCCCGTCTCGTGCACACACATGCTCTCTCTCTCTCTCTCTCTCTCTCTCTCTCTCTCTCAAAAAATTAGAACTAAAATAAAATAAAAACCTGAATATGAATGTTGATAGCAGCTTTACTCATAATTGCCAAGAACTGGGAACGGCTAAGATGTCCTTCAATAGGTGAATGGACAGGCAAACTGTGGCACATTCATACAATGGAATATTATTCAGTGGTAAAAACAAATGAGTTATAGGGGTGCCTGGGTGGCTCAGTTGGTTAAGTGTCGGACATGGGTCTGACTCTTGATTTCGGCTCAGGTCACCATCTTGATGTTGGTTCAGGTCATGATCTCATGGTTCGTGAGATTGAGTCCCGCGTTGGATTCTATGCTGACAGCACGGAGCCTGCTTGGGATTCTCATTCTCTCTCTCTCTCTCTCTCTCTCTCTCTCTCTGCATCTCCCCTTCGCGCTCGCTCGCGCTCTCTCTCTCTCTCAAAAATAAATAAACATTTAAAAGAATAATGGGGAAACTGTAGGGGAATACAGAGCGGTAATGGATCTGCATGTACTCTTTTCTCAATTAATCTGCAAATCTAAAACTGTACTACAGAAATTAAGTCCATTAATTGTTTGAAATGCACTTAGCATACAATCCAGCAATTGTCATTCATCTCCTACAAAATCCTCACACAAATGATCACAGGATCTTTATTCATAATAGCCAAAAACTGGAAACAACCCAGATTCCCTTCAACTAGAGGTTGGTTAAACAAACTGCAGTACATTTATACCATGGAATACTGCTCAGCAAGAAAAAAGAACAAGCTATTCGTAAATGCAACAATCTGCATGAATCTCCGGAGAATTACGCTGAGTAAAATCCAGTCCCAAAAGGTTACATAGTGTATGATTCCATTCCTATGTCATGCTTGATATGACAAAATTACAGAATGAGAGCACAGATTAGTGACAGCCAGGAGTCAAGGAGGGAGTAGGGGGAGGAAGGAAGTGGCTACTAAAAGGCAAGATGAGGGGCGCCTGGGCAGCTCAGTGGGTTAAGCGCCCGACTTCGGCTCAGGTCATGATCTCACGGTTCGTGGGTTCGAGCCCCGCGACGGGCTCTGTGCTGACAGCTCGGAGCCTGGAGCCTGCCTTGGATTCTGTGTCTCCCTCTCTCTCTGCCCCTCGCCCACTTGCGCTCTGTCTCTCTCTCTCTCTCTCAAAAGATAAATAAACATTAAAAAAAATGCAAAAGGCAAGATGAGGGGGTCCTTGTGGTGATGGAAATGTTCCATATGTCAATAGCCTGGTTGTGATACTGTACCAAGGTTTTGCATGATGTTCCCATTGGAGAAAAGTGTGTAAATGGTACATTGCATTTGAATCTACAGTGATCTCAAAATTAAAATTTACCTTAAAAAAATAAAAGAAAAAATGTGTTAAGTAGGCTCCTCCTCCTTACCTCAAAGGATCTGCCAGGCTGTCCTGGAACCAGGGCAGGGAACCTCTGGGGTGATTTCCCAGTAGCTGGCATGTTCACCCTGGGTCTCAGCCCACCTTCCAAAGCTGGAGGGGAGTCTGTATGTGGGCTGCGGTCAGAATGAATGGAAGATCCCGCAGCCTCCAGTAAGGAGGAAACTCAACAGCTCCACAGGGACACCAAGAAATCCTAAAAGGACAGTATCCATGTCATCAGTGTCATTCTACATTCACACCACAAAATTCAGCACCGCCCACTCTGAGTGTTAGGGTGGATTATGAAAACAATCATGATATCTGAAGTCACACTGATGACCTCAGAGTCCTTGATTCTGGGGTGGCTCCCTAGGGAGCTTCACACCTTACCTAGCCAGCCTACTCCTCAATTCCAGGTTCAGGGTAGATCGGGGTTTGTGGGGAGGGCAGAATTGGGGCAACAAATGGTGCTAAAGCCCTATGAGGTGGACAGAGGAAGGACTTGTCCATGGGGACCTAGTGGGTGACTGCGGAGGCAGGAAACCTGGAAACCTGAATGAAAGGTCTCTCTTCTGCCCTCTTTAATTATTTTGCCACTTATAGGGTGAAAAATCCCTCTTAAATTCTTCTACAGGAAGCTCTTAACCTCTTCTTTCCAGAAGATGATTCAACATTAATGTTATTTATTAATCAATACATGGGGGGGGGGATGCTGCTATTAAATTACACCAGAAAAGCATTTGACACCATTCTGCAGATATTACTAATAAAACTCCAACTAAAACTAGGAAAGAAGTAAATCACTTAAATATCACAAAAAATCATCTACCAAGCATAGCCCTGAAATATTATACTAAAAGGTAAAATGATGACGCTATTGCCGTTAAAATTACGAACAAGATAGGGATGTCTGACACGACTCAAAATTGTTTTGCTGGCTCTATGAGAGATGAAACAAGGAGAATAAATGTTGCAAGTTAATAGAAATGTGGCTTTCCTTGCCAGTGATATGATTTTACACAAAGAAAACCTGACACTACTAGCATTCAGAGCAGTTTGATAAGGGGCTGGATACCAGGTAAAATTATAAGAGCAGATAATTTTTCCTCTGTAATGGCAACAATAATCAAACAAATGAAAACGGGAAAACAAAAATCCATTAATAATGATAGCAAGAAATACACAAAATATACTTAAGGAGTTGGACGAGTATGATTTAAACAAAAATTGACAAATATAAAATAGTCACACAGATATACCATATCCTTGGATAAGAAAATGTAATAAAAATGTCAACCCTGCCAAAAGCATTATATTAAAGTAATGTAAAGAATAAACAAAAAAGAAACACAAAACTCAATAATAGTAAGATGGTGTGTACAAAATGTGTGGAATGCAGCTAAAGAGATTCTTCAAGAGCAATTCACGTTCTACATGGTTTTTAACAATGAAGAAAGGGTGAACATTCATGAAGTAACGTCTCGACTTAAAAAGTTACAGAGAAAATGGTACAGATAAGAGTAGAAATTAATAGAAAACAAAGGTACATCAGAGAGGATGAACAAGGCCAAAAGTTGGTTCTTTGTGAAGGCTAATAAGATTAGCAAATCTCTGGGGAGACTGATAAGGAAAAACCTAAACACACACTCTATTAAGACTTGACAACAAGAAGCAGCAAGCTATCTAAAAACCTGACCACCCCAGAATCCCCTATCCCTGACCTGCACAGATTCCTATTCACCAGATTCCTTAACTCCCCACCAATGGACCTCACAAACTGACAATTCCTCATTCCCAAAAGCCAACAAAGCCATCACCTCAAAACTCACTGATGACTGTCACGCCACAAAACCTCGTGCACTCGCTTTAGCGTCGCGCGCCAACAGGACTTAAACGTCCTCTGAGGGCCACTTCCGTTTCCTGTCCTCACCCCTGACCGTGCCCCTTCTGCGTGGTTGTTCTCGCACACGATCGTAAGGGCTGTGATGCTGTGGTCTACTCACTCCGAGCAAGGTGCAGTTAGGGATCGGCAGAGACTATGTCCACGAGTGGCGTTGTTGGGCGAGGAATATGGCTGTGCCCAGGCTTTCCTCCATGGGGGCCGCCATCTTAGCGCCCATTCCGTACAGTGGGCTGTTCCACCGAAGGCGGGGGCGGGGGGGGGCGTTGTTCAGGGGTAGAAACCTTCTGAAGGCAAGCATTCCAGAAGAGCTGGTCTTTGGAACTGGGTTCTATAGGTCTGTGCAAACGTGACAGAAGCAGAAGTGCCGGGGGGCAGGGGAGATGTGCCCTCATCTTCAAGGAAGATACCACTGAGGAGAGGGGTAAAAGTCAAGATTAGTTCCCCCCTGGAAGATGTCACTCAGAGGAAAGGAGAAATTAAAATGGTACAGTCCCCCTCCTGACAGATACCTCTGGGCAAGAAAGGGAAGGAGTCGGGGTGGTATAGTCCTCTCCTTGGAGATCCACTGGAAAGAGGGGGGAAACTCAGGTTATTGTTGATCCCCCTCCTGGGCGATACCACTGGAGAAGAGTGGGGAGAGGCATGGTGGTACATTGTTTTGATGTGCTGGAATTGGTATCGAGGGGAATTGAATCCCCCTCAATCTCCATTACCTCCATTACCCCACTAAAATGACAGTAGTTAGAAATAAATAATAATAACAATAGCCTTTGATATGGACAACTAATATCAATATATGAAATTTATTGTCAAATTGGTTTCCATACAACACCCAGCGCTCATCCCAAAAGATGCCCCCCTCAATGCCCATCACCTACCCTCCCCACCCTCCCACCCTCCATCAACCCTCAGTTTGTTCTCAGTTTTTAAGAGTCTCTTATGCTTTGGCTCTCTCCCACTCTAACCTCTTTTTTTTTTCCTTCCCCTCCCCCATGGGTTTCTGTTAAGTTTCTCAGGATCCACATAAGAGTGAAAACATATGGTATCTGTCTTTCTCTGTATGGCTTATTTCACTTAGCATCACACTCTCCAGTTCCATCCACGTTGCTACAAAGGGCCATATGTCATTCTTTCTCATTGCCACGTAGTACTCCATTGTGTATATAAACCACAATGTCTTTATCGATTCGTCAGTTGGTGGACATTTAGGCTCTTTCCATAATTTGGCTATTGTTGAGAGTGCTGCTATAAACATTGGGGTACAAGTGCCCCTATGCATGAGTACTCCTGTATCCCTTGGGTAAATTCCTAGCAGTGCTACTGCTGGGTCATAGGGTAGGTCTATTTTTAATTTTTTGAGGAACCTCCACACTGTTTTCCAGAGTGGCTGCACCAGTTTGCATTCCCACCAACAGTGCAAGAGGGTTCCCGTTTCTCCACATCCTCCCCAGCATCTACAGTCTCCTGATTTGTTCATTTTGGCCACTCTGACTGGCGTGAGGTGATATCTGAGTGTGGTTTTGATTTGTAATTCCCTGATGAGGAGCGACGCTGAGCATCTTTTCATGTGCCTGTTGGCCATCCGGATGTCTTCTTTAGAGAGGACAACTAATATTTTTAAGCAAATCGTTAATAGAAAAATATTTAGAAAACGTTATAAGCTTACTTTCGCTGAAACTACATCTCCAAGACACACCCCCAACTCCTCCTGTCAACCAGGTTGCAGCCGCTTAGCCTCTCTTATATGGGAATTTAGGAGTTACTACTTACTCTTGGGAGAGAAGAGAGGATTCTAGGGGTTCTTCACCTCTGAACCCTTATCTTAAACATTCTTCGAAACCTACTCCTGGGGCACCCGGGTGGCTCAGTTGGTTAAGCGACCAACTCCTGATTTCCGCTCAGCTCAAGATCTTGTGGTTTGTGAGTTCGAGCCCAGCGCCGGGCTCTGTGCTGACAGCATGGCGCCTGCTTGGGATTCTCTCTCCCTCTCTCTCTGCCCCTTTCCCACGCACGCACTCTCTCTCAAAAAAATGAATAAGTAAACTTAAAAAAAATAAAACCTATTTCTACATGTAACCGTCCTGCAGGCCTTCTCTGACAAGAGGTGGAGGGCTCTTTTCCCTACTGAAGGCATTTCAAACACAACAGATTTGTGTTGTGTGCTAAGCCTAGTTAGCTTGGGCGTGGATTGCTGTGTGTCCTAAGGATATTCAGATCTTCTCTCTGGGCCTCAGTGCAACAATCTGGAGAGTTAGAGTGTCAGCCTCTCAGAATTTGTGAATTGACTGGAAGACAGAGTAGCAAATGTGAGAACATTGCTGTAAGACACACACTTCTAAAGAAATTTCCATAACTTATTATTGTCATGACTTTTGGCCAACAACTCAAATCCTAGATTCCGCTAACCTCCAGCATCAATGCCTCCTGGGCTGATCTCAAACCTGGGCCTTTCTTTACCAATACCTATGTTGCATTCTTCTGATCTAAATTCATGTGTTCTATTAATGATTTCATCATCTGTGTCCCTGTATTCTGACCATGAATCCAAGATGCTCTTTTATCATATGTGCCCTTTTTTGATAGACAAAGAGACTAGTCATATGTTAATTTTCCACTATCAATGCCTCTCTGATCCATGTCTCAACTATTGGACCATAGTTAACTTTTCTACCATCAATGTCCTTTTGATTAGACTTCCAAAACAGACATATGTTGCAGAGGGTCTGGGTTCCAGTTCAAACCAGAGGGGAAATGGTGTTTGAAGGATAGCAGAGGCCCAATTTCAAGAACTGGACCTGAGGACCATTGAAGGTAGAGGTTCATTCACGGTGGAAGGCTGCTGACAAGACTGGGCTAACGGCCCGTAAAACAAGATGGGGATTTCTGGCAAAATCATTAACAGATGGTTTTAGATCAAACCAGGGAGATTGATGATGCTGAAAATTTCATATTTTCCTAAAATATGGACATGGAATAGTTAATGGAGGCCTAAGGTTCAAGGTCAGAAGTGATGGTTTGTCACTTCAGAGATGAGATGAGAAAAGATTGAGGCTTCCATATTGTTCTCTCTCTCCCTCTCTCTCTCTCGCTCCATCCCTCATATCACTCACGCAGGGAGAAGCCAGCTGCTATGTCATAATGACACTCAGGCAGCCTTTGAAAAGAGGCCCATGTGCCAACCACGCCTACCAGTAGCCAGTGAGGAACTGAGTCTCCTAGCCTATAGCCATATGAATGAGCCAGCCTCCAGCCTCAGGTGACTATAGCCCCAGCCAACAACCTGACCGGAACATCAGTTAGAGACCTTAAGGCAGGATCTGTAAGCCAAGCCACTTCCAAGTTCTTAACCCCACAGACACTGTGAGATAATAAATGTTTTCTTTAAGCTTCTATGTTTCAGGGTAATTGGTTACCTACTAATATCTATTATCTACTAATGAGATATTAGACACAGCAATAGATAACTAATACAGGCATCTAAAGTTTTGGTATTTTGTTCATCATGGATTTCTGCATTAATTTTGACTTCTGAAAACATTGCACTAAAATGTTATTTATCTCGATTACTGAGGTTTTCTGGTACTCCCTTACATTTTGCACTTTGAGGTGAGTGCCTCATCCTTGTCCCAAACCTGCTGGGAAAACTTTTTCTCTAAAATCATAGACTATCAGAAACTTGGCTATTTGAAATTATATCAATAAGAATAAAACATCCTCCTGGTGCCTGGAGGATCCAAGTCACTTTAACATAGAAGAACAGCTTCACTTTCCAGCCCATGTTCAGAGGCTCAAATAAGGGGCAACTGGAGTCAACGTGTCACATCTATTTTTACTTTAGTGTTTCTAAATAAAAAGGCCCCTGAATCCACGTCACCGTCCAGACTGAACATTGACTCTTTTACATACCAACTTGCTTTGCTTTGGGCTCATCAAAACCCTGCTTCCTTTGAATTTTAACTAAACTCAGCTCTTCCCCCAAATCCTGCAGTGATCCCATTTCCCCCTTTGTTTGCCAAGACCAGGGTGATCTACCATCCTTGTTGGCCCAAGACTGAGGGATTTCCCCCGCAGTTCTCATGGTGTGTGGTCTCCCTTGCTGCAGCCAGTTAATAAACCCATTATGGTCAAACTATGGATGTGAGCCTGGTGGTCTTTATCAGGTAGGCTTTATCAAGGTCATTAAGTTTGGAAGGGTTCACCGAGGTCAAGTTTGAGATCAGTCCTAATTTAACAGATCTGGGTTGAAGCTCCAGATCAAAGGGGCATTGATTAAGAAATAATTAATTGAAGGCTGAATGCTACACCATGCCAGAAAAGCATTGATAGTGGAAGAGTTATCAGAGCTCTGAGTCAGACTGGAACCATAGTAGATAGGGTTGGAAATTGGTCCAGGGTGATAGAAATGTCAACAAGGGCTTGGATTTTAGATTTTGACCGGAGTCATCGATGAAGCTGGATTAGATAACAAATGACCAGTTCAAGTGCCAACCGGAGGAACGGCGGTGGTGGAAGAGTTAACCGAAACCAGCAATTTGAGCTCTCTTGTCTAGACCCAGTCCGTGGGTTGCAGATAAATGGTACAGCTGGCCAATGGCTGTGTAGGAGAGGTGGGGTCTCGTTTCTGGTGGCCAATGAGATGAAGCAGCAAGCCTGTTACTAGGGAGAAGCCCCTGTTGCTATGTGCCGAGTAGGAGAGTCAGGGTCTAGCCTGACTAGCTACAGACAAATAGCCAATGACTGCAGGAGAAGTTGGACTTCAGCCTCCTCAGCCTATGGTAAACTGTTACCATGTAGCAACCCCCAATGCCAAGTGAAATGAGGCGGCCAAAGTGACACCTGAGAAGCTGTAGACAGAAGGTGCAGTTAACGAATGGCTGAGCAGAAGAATCAGGCTCTGGCCTCCCCACTCAAATAAGGCTGCTGGGTCTGTAAATCAGCAGAAGTCTCCATTGTCCAATGCAGGGAGGGGGCAGGGCATAGTCTGAGGGGGTATAGATAGATGATGCCATGGGAGGGAAGTGGAAGTGGGCGGGGGCAAGGCCTGAGATTGCTTTGGACAGAGGGTGCGGCTGGCCAATGACTCCGTGTGAGAGGCAGGGTTTGGTTTCCATGGCCAGCAAAATGTGAGCATCCATGTTACTACGCAGAAATAACCCTGCTGTTCCAAATGACACCAATAAGAATGAAGCCTCTCACTCTTGCCTAGAGAATCTAAATCACTTTGATGCAAAACAGCAGCCTCAACCCAAGTGAAGAGGAGGAGGAGGAAACTTGGCATGAGGGGCTGCAGACAGGTGACACATTAAAAAGAAAAAGAAACAAATGAAATGTAATGATGGGTTTTATTTAAACTACAAAGCCAAAACATTATCATTTCAACTTGTAGTCAACTTTTAAAATTACTAATGGGATATTTGGCATTCTTTTGGTTGTAATAAGTCTGAGAAGTCAGATGCACCTGCAACATGTTACAAAATACTAAATTTTC